GCCTTCATTGTTTCTTGAGACAGACGGATGCCAACAACAATATATTGTTGCACACCACTTCAATCTCTGAGCAGTGTGAGATTTCAGGGGTCCAGGTGCTTTACCCAGGGTTCGTGTATCCTTTTTGGAAATGAGGCACAGCAGAGAACTGTGGTGCCTTTATGATATATGGTTTATTTACACATATGATATCTGAATCTACAATGGAGAGTTTCCCAGCATGACACTCCAAGAGGGTCTCTTGCTCTGGGGGATAGGAAATAGTTTGATGAAATTATGTATACCATTGAGAATGTGAATATAATACTAGTACTTGAGATCATCCAAGAGGGTCTCCTGCTTCTCCCTTCCAGTAAAATCAAAATGCCTGTGTATTTAGGAGAGGCAAAAAGGAAGTCCTTCATATATAAAGATGTGGTGGTAGCCACTGATTTAGATGGTGTTAAGAGAGGATTAGACCAAATTCATTGAGGATTGGTGTGTCAATAGTTAATAGCTATGATGGCTAAATAGAAGCTCCATGTTCAGAGGCAGGGTTCAGTTGAATGGCAGTCACTGGGGAACAGCAGTAGGAGGGAGCTCTTGCTGTCAAGCCTTACTTGACGACACCCTTGAGAGATCTGGTTGGTGACTTTGTGAAAGAAGATGCTGGACTAGATTCCCACTGGTCTGGTCCACAAGGACCCTTCTTGTGCTGCATGCCACTTCTTGCAGAAAGGAGTTGGCTATTTTAAGTTACCTGCAAGATCAGAGATGAAGGTAGAGTTGGGCATTTGCCAACACCACTTGTCGAATGAGAACAATGCCAAGTCTAGCAAGAACGGAGGACGTGAATTGTGTGCTCAGGATTACTTCACATTTATCCATTTTAAGTTTCTGTTCTCTAGTTTCCTTGTTCTCTCTAGGACCAGTTCACTCACGCCTGTGGTTACATCATCTGAGAAATGAATACTGATTCATCTAAATGAACCATTCCTTTGAAGAGTGAGTTGAGATTATATGGACCAACCGTTGCTGTTCTGCTTTTAAGTTGGAAGTGAAATAGCAACTTCGCTTCCAGACTTCTGGAATCCAAATAACATTCTGTAACAAGTTGGACGCTCGCCTCTTACCCAGACCCAAGGAGAGGGTTCAATATTCCCTCTCACTCTCCCCTGCACTGCAATTTAGGGAAGAGGAATAGAAACGATATGGCAATGCTACTCAGAAAGGAAAAGGTTAAGGAGATAGAGTTGATTCCTAGAGAGAGAGGAATGACCCACAGAGGATAGAGTAAATTCTGTATTGGCCATAACCAGCCAGGAAAGCTGAATAGCTGCACAATGGATCAGCTACACCTGAGGAAATTATGCAATGGTTCCGTTGTGCTAAAAAAGCCCACATTTTCTTACCTGTGGGGTCGGGAGCGTAGCTGAACAGAGAAAGCATAGGCGCATGTTTTGAACCTGATGTCATGCAGATGTCTTATAAAAAAGTAAGTGAACAAAGCATGACTATTCTACAGTAAATGCCCAGGGTAGAGCAGCCATGGAAGGTCTACCTGTGATGTTCGGCCTGTGGTGGACTCATTATCCAGGTAAGTTGCCGTGATGCTGATCTCAAATGATGCATATGCAGTAGTGGCTGGTGTCCATTGGGAGTGGCAGGGCAGAAGGGAGGACAATAGTAGGTAGAGTGAGAGCCAGGGGTGAACTTTGGTAATGTGGTGTCCTGAGTGAGGACAAAATTTGGCGCCACACCCAACTTTTAGTAGGTACCCCCTTGGCAGCCTTTGAGGAGGAAGTGTTCGCAGCACCCTGAATCTGGCACTGCCAGACCAATGAGAGCCAACTAATTCTAGTTTTGTTTCCATCCTCCTCCCTGCTTGGTTCTGTTGGGGCATCATGGCAACAAAGGTGATTGAGACTGGCAGCCAGTGCCATAGCCTATGCTGGCTGCAAATTGTTGTTGTTTAGTCGTTTAGTCGTGAAGGGGTACAGTTAGGGTTACCCCAGAAAGCCCTAAAAACTGTTTGTGAATCTCCCCACCCCAGCCAGGCCTCGGCGTACGCATTTTTAAAACTGCATATTCCTCTAAGACAAAAAGCATGAGCTAAGCAGTCCTCTCTGTAACAAAAACGCTGTAACAAACCCATAGCTGAGAACAGAAAAGCTTTTCGCTTCCCAGATCAAATAACCTTGTCCTGGTACATTGACTTGCAAACATACTTCCGGGAACAGAGCCAGAGAACGAAAAGCAACATTTCTATGTAAGAATCTGTGAAGGGGAGAGGAAAAAAAGGGGTTTGAAAAAAGGATAAAACCTGCTTGTAAAATGTTTTCGGTGCGGCCTGTCTTTTGTGAACTGAATCACACAGGTGCCTTCTGCCCCTCCGGATGGCAGAATAAAACGCTCTTTCTCTGGATTAACCCCTTGTGTCGTTTGCTCCTTTTGTCTCTGCTCGGGTGCAACAATTATTCCTACCCATGGATTAATAAGGCTACATATTTCTGGTGCATTGGCCGGGAATAAGCACGTTCCCCGAGATCGAGGACAAAGAGGTCCAGGGCGTCACTGCAAGGCGAGCAGCTCGGGATACCCGGTCAACAGTTCAGCGCGCATCCTGCCAACTTCGTGGGAGGGACTGGCCACCCGTTCCTGAGTGACACGCGACAAAGTGACGGAGAGAAAGAGCAACGGCCGTGCAGAAAGAAGGTACCTCGAGAAAACAAGG